ACTATTGTTATGAGATTCTGTACAGAACAAGATCATCACCTAGTGGCCACAAGCAGAACTCCTGCACAGCTTTTCCTGGCCAGCCAAAGTGATACAGTGAGAACAGCATCTTTGGAGGAGAAAAGATGTATCTTAACTCCCACATCACTTCCCCCTCCCCCAGATTCGATCCGTTCGTCATTGTCGGCTTATGTCTTCAAACTAGGTGCATTCAGCTAATGTAAATAATAACACAAAGGTAACCATGCTGTGCTCCATCTTTAAGCTGTTTGAAATGTCAAAGAATAAAAGAGAAGATATTGGTCAAATATATATATATATATATATATATTTACTTGAGTCAAATCAGGTTTTTATACTATAGATGAAAACTAATTTTAAAAATGTCTACTTTTCTTTCTTTTTCCTTCTTCTTTCTCTTTCTTCTTTCCCTTCCTTCCTTGCCTGCCTCCCTCCCTCCCTCCCTCCCTCCCTCCCTCCCTCCCTCCTTCCTTCCTTCCTTCCTTCCTTCTTTCTCGCTTTCTTTTTTATTCTTTCTTTCCACAGAGCCTAGCTCTGTTGCCCAGCTGGCTGGCGTGCAGTGGCACAATCTTGGCTCACTGCAACCTCTGCCTCTCATGTTCAAGTGATTCTCCTGCCTCAGCCTCCCCAGTAGCTGGGATTACAGGCATGTGCCACCATGCCCGGCTAAGTTTTGTATTTTTAGTGGAGATGGGGTTTCACCATGTTGGCCAGGCTAGTCTCAAACTCCTGACCTCAGGTGATCTACCCGCCTCTGCCTCCCAAACTGCTGGGATTACAGGCGTGAGCCATCACTCCTGGCCCTACTTTCTTTTAAATTAAATTTCTATTATTTCTCCCCAAAGGTGTCTACCTAGTACATGTAAATAAAACTCAGTCAGAACTGGATTTCCAGTACAATAGTGTAAAAATTCAGTTAGAAGTTTTCTTACTATAATTCCCTTGGGAGACCCTTCTGGTTGGGGAAGAAAGATGGAAGGAGGGACAACTGGGAGAGAGAATCTTAAAAATGCCCCACCTAGATGCTGATTTTGCAAACAAGAAAATAAAAACAATCTGATGGTGCATTATTTCAGAAGTTAAGGAGGTGATGTGTGCTCTACTATTTGATATTAGGACACCTTAGAGGACATGCCGAAAGGGCCCAGGGATTTTTGTTTGTTTTTGTGGGATAGGGCAAGATGTTTGTAAGTTATCTGTAGGCATATGTTCTTTCTGTGTGTCAGCTGCAGGAAGTCTTCTGATTCCATGGCTCGGTCACCTGATGGACCAAGAAAAAGAAGTCTATCATTGCAAAAGCTTCCTTGGTTAGGGTGTTACACTAGCCATTGTGTTTCCATAGCAACCTATGGATGGGTTTATCCAGGAAAGCACAGGGGCCCGCCCCATGCATGGCCAGCAGAATCATGTCAGTGAGGACTGGACAAAAAGAAGCATAGGGTAAGATAAACATGTTGTAAAAAGAATGTGTGTTCTGTATCACAAATTCTATTCTAAAATCGGTGCTAATTAAAAAGAAATAAATCAACAAAGTCCACAGAGGCCTTTGGTAAGTAATTATTTATTTGATCATCACATTAAAGAATAGAAATCTAATGTCTTGGGGAGTCTTATTACCTTAGCTTGAGACAGAAAAAGGAATAAATCAGGTTGCGTCCGCAGATTTGCTCAGGATGCTCTTGGGGAGATAATGTTACGTAATTTGGGTCATATGAGTTGGTTCTTTTGGGCGTTTTTAAGTTTCTCTTCATCCATGAAGGCTCCCAGACTATGTAGAGAAAATGGAAGTTTTAAAAACTTATAATCACTCCTTTCTCTGCCCTATCAGGTACTTATTTTCAGTTCATTAAATTAGAAAATAATATTCTGAATAAGAAAATAAAAAGTCGATAATTTTTAAACCAGTGATAATGGACATCAAGCTGCATATTGATGCCCACAGTGTATGTCTCCTCAGAATCATGAACTCCTAAGAGCAGGCAGGCACTACTGAGAGTGGTTCACAGAAAAAGAAAGATGAAAGTCTTTAAATTACGTTAATGGATGTATTTAACCACTTGGAGAAAGTAAGTACAGCAGTGGCCTCCTATAGCCAGCTCCTGCCAGCTCACATTGCTACATTCCTATCCCAGTGTCACTCCAGGGACTCTCTATTTCTTGGGTAGCTGTCCACTAATTTTAATAAAGATGAGAATAACTAATAATCACGAACATTTAGACAAACGCACCACAGTTTACATAGTGTTTTCACATCTACTTGTTAAAAGCAGGTATTATCATTGTCCCTGCATTTTGTAAAAATTGAGTATCAGGGAAAATCACAAAAATGTTTGGAGTTCAAACAGCTAGTAAGTGGGTGTTCTGATCTTCTAGTCTAGGTCTTCTGACAATAAATTCCAGATAATAACAGCTAGAAGTTCTTACCTTTTTCAGAAGTACTTTCAGTTTACTGGGGAACTCTAATAAAAAATGTGAAAAGTCTTTAAAAATTAAATAATTAACTTTCAAATGCTGAAATTTCAGATAATTTTAGGTTACTGCTAGTGTTTTCTCTGAAATCATATGAGTATCCTCCCAACATGGATTCTCCATGATAGACTCTGGTGGGAAAGATAGGCTGCTAGAAGGCATGGGAAGCCTGGTTCATTTGGGAACTCATCTCACATCCTAAATCAATGTTTTGCTGGTAATCATTAAGTAGAACATTCTTACTAATGGTGTCACAAATAGGTATTTGCTACATCTCTTTGTATAACCAGCTGAGGAAAAGTCCTAATAGATTCTCTATTACAGATCACTTTAATTACTGTGTATATGATTTATTGTATTTCCAGATATATTAATTAAGGAAATAACTCTCCTTTTCCCCTTATCATGACCTAAACCTCAAGACTACACTGAACAATTTTCCATGCATATGTCTTTAACAAGCCTACAGAAAGAAATGGTAGAAATGAGCAAAAAAGATCAGAAAGGTGGAGAAACAACTCTGGAGAGAAGTCAGCATTCCTGGGTTCCAGGCCTGGCTCTGCTTGCAACCAACTGTGTGATCTTGGACAATGAGTTAATCTCCACCTGAGTTTCCAGATGTGGGCAACACTGGTTTTGAATCTTTTACAGATATTCAACTCACAGGCCGCCAATAATTTATCAGTAATTAATCAATCAGCCCTAACTATTTTCATTTTAATGCATCTTTAGTCTTTAAACATATGGGTGTCTCAGAGTGCCCAGAGGAAATCTTAATTAATTCTCTAAAAAGGTTATGACCAGAAGAAGCAAAGAACAGAGAATGTTCATATGACCTCCAAGTAAGGTGGTTTTCTATTGTGTATGCACACCATCATGGAAGACTTTCATGGATAATGGAGTCAGTTTGTGCACTCACTGATTTTTCAGTGTGTGTCTAGAAGTTAATTACTGAAAAAAAATAGATCTTTCTTGTTATCAATATTTTGTTTTTTAATGTGAGGGCATCACATGTTATCAAGACATTTGCTATCTGATTATTTTAGGGGGAGTAGAAAGAACAGGCAAGAAAAGGAAAGGAAAGAAGAAAGGAGAAAGGTAGGAAACTCCTTAAAAATATTTTGGTGAGGAAAATGTTTACCAAGTGTCTACCTACAACTAGGCCATTTCCACATGAGGATTCAAAAGAATGTGTTATATCAAGACTCTCTTGGCCAGGCATGGTGGCTCATGCCGGTAATCCCAGCACTTTGGGAGGCTGAGGTGGGATGATCACTTGAGGCCGGGAGTTCGATCGAGACCATCCTGGGCAACATGGTGAAACCCCGTTTCTAGTAAAAATACAAAAATTAGCTGGGAGTGGTGGTGGGTGCTTGTAATTCCAGCTACTTAAGAGGCTGAGGCAGAAGAATTGCTTGAACCTGGGAGGTGGAGGCTGCAGTGAGCAAAGATGGCACCACTGCATTCCTTCCTGGGCAACAGAGGGAGACTCTGACTCAAAAAAAAAAAAAAAAAAAAAAAAAAAAAGAAACTCTTAAAATATTCTAAGATTTTATGTCCAAAAAGAAGCCTCTGAATGTAAGATATAATAGAACTATTTATTTGTCTATTCATTAAACTTCTGGTAATTTCAACTATGTTATAACCAGCTGCAAAAGGAAATCAAAACAAACCTCAGAGCCTACTTACTTTAACTTTATATAGAAATCATTAAGCTCAGTGACTAGTTTCTGAAGTAATATAAACTTCATGAGGCTTCATGAGACCATTTCTTTCATAGCCCCAGTACTTAACTCAAAACCTAGTTTATGGAATGGTTTCAATAAATATTTGTTAATGAAGCCAAGTGATTAAACAAAATGTAGTATAACCATGCAACAGAATACTATCAGGCCATAAAAAGAAATGAAATGTTGATACATTCTATACATGGATAAAACTTAAAACCATTATACTAAGTGAAATAAGTCACAATAGGCCGCATATTGCATACTTCTATTTATATGAAATGTTCAGAATATGAAAATCCTTACAGATAGAAAGTAAATTAATAAGTGGCATGGAGAGGAGAACAGGGAGCAACTGTTAAGGGTGTAAGATTTCTTTGATGGGTGATGAAAATTTTCTGAGTGTAGTGATGGTTGCCTTTCTCTGTGAATACACTAAACACCACTGAATTGTACATATTACACAGTTAAATTTTAAGTTATGTAAATTTTGTGTCAATAAAGCAGTTATTGTATACAAGATTAAAAAATAAAGATTTGTTAATGAATGAGGAGGTTAGAAGCGGTATTCAGTAGCTGGGGTTGTTGGAGAGCAGTACACGAAATTAGTAGAACTGATGGCTGATACCCTGGAAACCAAAGAAAGAGTGAGAAAAATCATAAAACCCAGACACAAAGGCCACTGCTTTGAAGAAACAGTCCTACATACCTTACTGACTCTAAGCGATTATAGCACAGATACAAAAACAATTGCCATGAACAATAATGACCCTGAGTCATTAGGAAACTTTTGAACTTTGTTTAATAGACCTCATTTGATACAACTCAGGGAGGGAGCTGTACAATGCACTTTTAAGATATTTTATTGGACAGGATTAAAATATCACTCTGAGAACCCTTAGTCCCCTCTCATGCTAGGTTTCCCTTTCAAAATGTGACTTGATGATATAATAATGTGTACTTTAAACCTCCCTTCCCTTCAAAAGATCCTTGGTTCTATTCCAGGACCTCTAATTCCAAAGTATCTTTTGTAGACCCAGAAAGTATGCGTTTTCTTTGTCTTTGTGATGTATTACACCTCCCAGTGCAGAATTTTAATATATTCCACATATCGTATCTTCCTGTTTCAGTTACAAAACAGTACAGAATTGGATCAGCAACACAGTTTAAACTTGTTAATGCGACCGTGATTCTATACATTGTGTAAGTTTGCTTCCCAGACTTGCTGTGGTCATTGAAGTTCACATCATGCTCTAAAATGCAGCGAATCAGCAACATCACATGAAAGGGAGTAAAGCATAAGACAAAAGTCACTGTGATGCTGACAAGGAGTTTTATGATTCTCTTCTTTTCCTTGTTTTCTGTGGCTTTATTGTGCCGCACAGCTTGGTAGACTTTCTGGTTGCAGATCAGGATGGTGACCAAAGGTATTGCATAGCCTGTACACGTCCTGAACAAGTTGAGGTTGATTTGCCATTTCTCTAAAGGGTATTTGTCATAGCATAAAGTAAAATTAGACTTTTTGGCATCGCAATATTCAACACTTGTTTCATCTTCCCACAACATGACAGCATTGAAGATGGTTTCCAATACCCAGATGGAAAGGCTGACCATGAGTGCAAATCTTCTTGTCCTTAGAAAAAAAAACTTCAGAGGGTAGACAACAGCCAAATACCGATCAACGGCAATGCAGGTGAGGAATGCTGTGCTGCTGTAAAAGTTCATGTACGTGAAGAAAGCACTTCCTTTGCACAAGGCAGCAGAGAAAGTCCAGTTGTCTTTATTCCAAGTATAATCAATCCATAAAGGGAGAGTTAATGCATAGAGCAAATCTGATAGTGACAGACTGAAGAGGTAAATTCCTAGTTCACTTTCCTTCTTTGCTTGCAGGAAAGACACACATAGAGATCCAATATTGGCCGGAATGCTGACTATAATCACAAAGATGTAAACAATAGGAAACAAATAGTGATCCAGCTCATGCTGTTCTTCAATACATGTGCTGTTCATGTTTTTCTTTTTAAGGTAGCAATTATATTAGTTCTTAGAAGGCAAACAGAAAAGTAAGTCTTGTTTCGTTGTAGTTTGTTTTGAACATCAGATTCTCTTTTACTATTTTTTTTTTCAATTTTTCTTTGTTGTTTACAGTTTTAATTAATTCATCAATGCTTTTAAAGGGTGGATGTAGATCAATTTCTACACAAGCACCAGCAGTCAGAAGTCAAAATCCAGGCTCCTGACAGTTGGCTAAAGGGATCAACTGAATTTACTGAACAGAAGTCCATGCGTTCATTATCACAGAACACTGACAAAACCCACAAGGATCAACTGGGGTATTTGTAAGTGTGCATGGAGAGCTGTCTGCAATTTGTTCTTCTTCATAAATCTCACAGTCGATTGGTAGAAACATGAATATATAAGGCTTTGTTTTCATAGAGATTGGTATTTCCTTCTAAAATTCCTTTCTTTCTGTAATGAAAGATGAATTAAAATAGTTTAGATGTTTAAGATACATAACTTCATTACAATAATGATTTTGAAACAATCCATTTTTGTTTCATTTATGGAGATTTTGAAAATGCATTAAGTTACAGAGAAGGTGTTTAGAATGGGAAAATTGTCTGATTGACTTCAGTAAATAAAATCAAGCCAAGATAGTTTACTTATTTCAAATAAGAATTACCTGAGGTATACTGGATTTCAGTGAATTTTATTTCTCAATGGACATGACCTAAGAACATAAAACTCAAGTTAGAAAGCCATTTTAGTAGCTAAAGATTTCTATTATTTGTCTGTGATTGGTAAATACTTTTCAGTGTGTGATCAACTGTATGGTTATATGATTTCAAATTTCTAATTTCATATGCAATCTAGGTATATGGCACTTTCAAAAATTACATTATTATTCAAAGAAATAGTATAATAGAAATACAACAAAGTTGTAGAATTTTAAAATGTAGCAGTTTGTTAAACCTTAGCATATAATTAGACAACCCTACCTCTGTTAATCTTTTTGTTTCCTTTGTAGGCTAATACACTTTATCTTTCTTATACTTCTATAAATGAGAGAAAAGAATTTTCTCAATTCTGGGTAAAATCTTAGAATCATTAATTTCTGCCTTTATACCTGATAGTTTATTAGGCATCTTTTTAAAGCTATGATGTCACAGATTAGATTAACATAAGAGTAAAGGTTCCATCCTTCTCTCCATACTGGAGTAGAGAAATATTTTGTCTATATCCCCTTGCTAGTGAGTTCTACTGGTGGTTTAGATGATTAACCTGGTGAATACCTTCACAGAAAGCTTTGTAGAAACACTATTCGGGACACCAGAATCACTCCCTTCCAACTGTTGATGAGTCCTGAACACAAAAAGAAATGCCAGGACAAGTCACAAGAATTCTACTAGAAGAGTAAACCATATGAGAGAATATATTTCACTCTTAAACAGAGAACTAAAACTTCTGAAACCTTTTAGCTTTACCAACGTAAAAAATAGGAATAAGATGTGAAAAACAGCCTTCTAAATAAATAGGGAGACTTCCAAAGGGGGAAAAAATTTGTGATGGAACAAAGGAGGTGGGAGCTGCTATCAGGAAGGTGAGTGAGCACTGAAGCTCTGGATGGCCTGAAGATATATGTAGATCTGGAGGAACTAACTAGGGATCAGAGAAACTACAGACAAAGCTTGGGCCTATGCAGGTAGGAAGGGGTCCTTGACCATTCCAAACACATGGGATCCAGGAACCTCTGCTGTCAGGGAAAGGGTGAACTAGAAAATAAACAAAAGAAAATAACAAACTCCACAGACATTTGCAGACAGTAGAGAAAAGATGGCAATTTCCCTGCACCTGCTTGTTTTCTGTGAGGAGTTATAATAAAAAATTATACCCTAAGTATTTGTGGCCTGTGGGGTCCTCACTTGGAAAGTGGGTCTGGGTCTACATTGTTAGTTTGATCCTGCAAACTTCAGGCCAACCTACATGCTCAACTTCATTAGTCATCAGAGGAATTCAAACTAAGATTAAAATGATATGCCTCTACACACACAACAGAATAAATAAAATGAAAATAAGACAACATATCAAGTGTTAGTGAGGAAATAGAACACCTTGACTCATACGCTGTTGATTAAAAAACTATTTGGCACTTATGTGTACCATATGATCCAGCAATTCCACCTCTAGGTATCTGTTCAACATAAACCCATACATAAGTTAACCAAAAGACAGGTACTAGAATTAGAATGTTCACAGTAGCACTATTTGTAATAGTCCCTAACTAGAATGTCCATTAGCAGTATAATAGATGACTTAATTACGATATAGTAATACCATTGAAATCTATACCTCAATGAAAATAAATTATTGCTACACACAATCACATAGTTGTAGATCACAAATATAATGCTGAGTGATAGATAAATGCAAAAAAAAAGTATGTATTATCTGATACAAATCAGGCAAAGTTAATCTATGCTGTTAGGAGTCTGAGCAGTGGTCACCTTTGGGGAAAGTCTGGGTACTGCTGGAACAGGGCATGAGGAAGACTTCTGAAATTTAGTAATGTTCTATTTCTTGATATGGGTGACTGCTTTCATGAGCATGCTCAGTTTGTAGAAATGTATCAAGCTGTACACTTAGGATATGTGCATTTTGCTGCATGTGTATTATATTGCAATGGAAGCATTAAAGAGTGGAATAAAAAGGCTGTATGAGATGGTGCATAGAGCATCTTGACAAACGTGTTTTACCTGCAGTTGGAACATATATGCCTTCCTAAGAAATTTTATTTTATTTCTATCCTCATATATGCAATGTAATTGAGAGAAACAAAATAGTAAATAAATAATTTACATAGTTATGAAAATATATTCACCAAAAATAAAGGTTGACTATATATGAAAAAATAAGTTCAAGGATCCTGGAAGAAGTAGACACAGATCCTCCCTTTGAGCAAGGTCTCTTAACTCAGGCCTCAAAGAATCCTACAGATAGAGTTCTAACAAATATGACCTTATTCACACACACACACACACACACACACACACACAGAGAAATAAGCCACTATGTGTGAGATTGAGCAGAAACAACAAAGAAGGATACTAGATCTGCAAAAACTTTAGAGATAAAATTAATATGTAAATAACACAAAAGAGATATGTTTAATATGTTTAAGGAAACAAAAGAAGGGATTTAAACACATGAGTAAGGAGGAAGAGATTATTAAAAAAATGACAAGGTATATTTTTTAGAAAGATTGAAAACATTTCTAAAAATAAAATATATAACCTAAATTTAAAAATCAACACAGGGACTAACCAACTGATTAGATTCAGCTGAAGAGAAAATTAGTATATTGCAAGATAGAGATAAAGAAATAACACAAAATTATCAGGACATGAAAAGGACATGTTAAGGACATGAAAAGATATAAAAAAATAGAGAATAAGGTAAAAAGGACAGCATATGCATAATTGGAATTCCATAAAGACTGAAAAGAGAGGATGTTGAAAGGGCAATATTCACAAAGATGATGAACTTTCTAGAACTGATGAGGGGATACTGAGGATGGATGAAGAATCCTCATGGATTCATTCCTCATGGATCTTCAATCCTCATAGAATCTTCAGATTTATGAAGCCTAAAAAAATCCCAAATAGGATTAAAAACACACAAAAATGAAAACCTATACTTTGATACATTGCAAAAATATTGCAGTTTACCAAAGACTAAGAAAAAAAGAGCCAGAGAGATAAGATGGACTATGACTACCTATGAAGGATGGAATTTAGATGGACAAAGGACTTCTCAACAGCGATAACAGACAGCAGAAGATTAAAAGTTCCAAACTTCTAAGAAAATATATGTTGTCCTATAATTGCATACTCAACAGAACTAAATTTCAAGGGCCAGAGAAAGAATTGGGACATTTTCAGATAAACTACCAATGAGAACATTGCCATCTAAAATCCCCATTAAAGAAACTTTTTTTTTTTTTTTTTTTTTTTTTTTTTTTTTTTTTTGAGACGGAGTTTCGCTCTTGTTACCCAGGCTGGAGTGCAATGGCGCGATCTCGGCTCATCGCAACCTCCGCCTCCTGGGTTCAAGCAATTCTCCTGCCTCAGCCTCCCGAGTAGCTGGGACTACAGGCGTGCACCACCATGCCCAGCTAATTTTTGTATTTTTGGTAGAGACGGGGTTTCACCATGTTGACCAGGACGGTCTCTATCTCTTGACCTCGTGATCCACCCGCCTCGGCCTCCCAAAGTGCTGGGATTATAGGCGTGAGCCACCGCGCCCGGCCTAAAGAAACTTTTAAAGGTTATAGTTGATGTAGGAAAAGGACACTAGAATAATGTCTGAGATGCAGGAAGGATTGAATCAGGCCCCTGCGGATGGGATTCTGATGCATACACAACACATCCAACTCTAGGGCTCATGTGTCTTGGGCAGAACACCTGAACCATGAAAAAATCCTCCCTTAAGGCCAGGACCGAGAGAAAATTGGGTAATAGGCAATGTGTACCTCTTCCTCCCTTGTCCATGTTCCTTCAATAAATATGCATCATTTTCTTTTAAAATGGTATGATAGATTAAATGAAAAAAATGATTTTTAGAAAGGTTTATAAAGTTTTCAATGGAATACATTTCTCTAGCTGTATTTCCTGCCTTGACTTAACCACAAGACAGGATGGGTTGATGAAGCAGACAGAGGGCCCTCTTCTCTGTAGTGACACAGAGGCAATACAGACTTGTGGTTATGAGCGTAGGCTATGGAGACAATTCAAAAGCCTCTCGATAGGATCTGGGCCCACTGTGTTTCTTTACCTTCTAAGTTCCAGTTTTCACCTGTGTAAGTTAGTATCCACTTTGTAAGACTGTTGTGAGGGCTAAATGAAATGACATATGAAGCAAAGTACTAGCATATGAGAGGCATTCACTGTACATGAGCTGGTAGTATTGTTTTAATGCCATTGATAGTCTGCAGCCAATCTTGGTGCTGTCCCCCAAATTTCCTGAAAAGAAATCATCTTTAGCCATCTAGCCAGAGCATAGCAGAAAAGCTAGAGGTGCTCAGAGTATAATTTGTATGGTAACACTTCACATATAATACCAAGTTCTGCAGATAATAGTTGTTCATTTAATTTGGATGGTCTGATATTTTAATGGAATACTGTATGTAATTCCTATTATAGTATTCATATATCTTTTCAGATATTATTTTGGTACCGTTAATCAAATTTTGAGAAAATTGTTTTTAGAACCAGCATTGAGAAATTTAGGTGAGTTTTTAATTTTAAAATTTTTACCAAATGTCCAAAAAGATAATTTACAGAATACTAAAGTATATCTATTCTTGACCAGCTCTAAACACAGTACAAATCATTGATGAAGGTGACAAAAAGTAAAATATTTTCCTACAGAGTTATAGAAAATGCTTGCTTTCATTTATCAGTTTAACAGTTACTTATTAAGACTCTACTATATTTCAGGCACTGTGATAGTCACTTTTTAACCAATAATTATTACTGGGCATTTATTAATACTGGAAATATTCTTTCCTAACACCACATTTTTTTCTGACAGATATCAAAAATATTACTGGACCATTGTACAGATGAGGGATGGATGCCAGATAGCTCTAAAGCCAGGAGCTGGTAGGCTTCTTCCCAAATACTGAACGAAGTTTGCCAAAGCACTGTTTCCTGAAAAGAAAATAAAGTATAAAGAACCCCCTTTTTCTATATTTATAGTTTTACCTAGTTTTAAATTTAAATTTTGGCCCTTTACCACTGCTGAAAGTAGAAGAAACCATGTGTCTTCCTCATTTCTTTCTCTCTTACAATGCTTTGCATTACTACGTTTATACAGCCTAAATCAGGTAGAATGTTGCGAACATTGCTGACAGTTATGCCAAAGCATGTTATCTACTTTAAAAAACATGTTATTTTTTAATCTTATACTTACTCATGTTTCTTCGGGTGATGCGTTTGTTGACCGAGGAGCTTGATAAATCTGTGCCTGCATCAAGTCAAGAAGAGAAACCAACACTGCTGAGGGGACAGGAAATTGCACTCATATTTCACCACAAACCAATGAGGAAGCAGCATCTCAATGAGAAGGACGTGCAATACCCAAATTTGGACAAAAATGTCTTCTAAATACTTTTAAAGATTTTTTATTTATTGTTTACTGTACTATAATTTTTATAACTCACATATCTCATTGTGTCTTAATTACAAGGGTATACAGATATGATATGCCCTTTGCTTAATGGAATATATGTTAGATATTTTTATTCATTCATTCATTCACTCATTCAATCATTCATTAACTCATCATGCTTTATATTCTTCGGTAGTGTGCTGGGAGATGTATAGAAACTGGCTATCAACCAAAAGGAGTTTTTTTTTACCTAGAAAAAGAGAAAGATATGTTTAATAATAATTGTAGTGCAACGGCAAAATGAAGAAGTACTTCAAGAGGGATACAGATAAAACAGAATGAGCCATTTGGATGTGCAAGATAGGGGAGGATATTGTAGATAGATTCAGTGTGATAAAGTTTCTGGGAAAAAAAAAAACAAGACAGAGAATTGGGGATTGGGATTTAATGATAGATATTGTGCTATTCAAGGCAGGGGTTGAGGTAGCCAACTTCATAAAGCCTTTTTTTTTTTTTTTTTTGGAGGGACTACTGGGATTGGACATACACAGTATTTGATTGTAGAACTATTTCTCCTTTGAGTCTCCTCTTGGAATAGAAAACAGAGATGGCTAAAACCAGTTGAATTAACTGGCAGAGACAACTAAATAATTTTATAAAACCTGAAAATTTTATTTGAGAAAGACTTATATTGTTAGTATAAAAACTCATCTACTTTAGCAAGTTAAAGTTAAAGCCAAATCTATAAGTGGCTTAATATGAAGTGAAATTAGCTTCTATAACTTTCTTACTATTGATATATAAAAAAGTCAGAGATATCACTTTGAAGAACAGAATTGATTTGGGATGAAGACATTTAACCTGATTTTGAAGACTGTAATCAGGACATTTTGAGTCTATATTTGTAAAAAGACATTAAGGGTTGTTGTTGTGGCTTTTTTTTTCCTCCCTACCCAGAGATGGAAAAGATGAGCCTGGCTTTTCATATTAAAGTTCTTCAGGGTATATGAGGAATGCAGAGATTTTCAATACTTCCTTTGCAGGTCTTTCTTTGAGAATAATAAAACGAATACCTCACATTTATAAAGTACACGAGCGTTTACAAAGTAATTTAGCATATAGTAAATCATAAATTAGAATATATTGTTACCAAAATAAAAAGTACAAAGTAAAAAATTAATAATAAATTTCTTGAACTTTTACAAAAATGAGAGTAATGATTTCAGTTTACTCGTGACTCTAATCCATAATTTTCACTTTTGCTTGGTTTCGCACACCCTCTTATCTGTAGTTTCTATACATGGTATTTCTCTTTTTAAGTTCAGGGATACAAGTGCATTGTTATGTAGGTATTTCACAACTTTCGTGATCTCTTATTTTATCTGAATAGGCTAAACTGCTTTTAGGGAAAGGGTATTTTATTATCCATATCAGATATTTACGTATTTTGCTTTTCCAAAAACGTATGTGGTTAAGAAACATAAGAAACACAAACTTTCACTTCTCCTGATCAAACAGGAGAAAAAGCTAGAGCTGACCTATACTAAAACGTTGCCAACTCTACACAAAAAGAAATTTACCAGCTTTTAAGAAATTTGTTTCTTGATACAGAAAATATGGCAGTACTGTATTTTCAACTATAGGGCTATCTATTACAATGAATGGTTAGAAACTTTAGACCACTGAGTCACTGTGACATTTTAACAACATAACGATGAGATAAAGACAATTAGTAGTTATTCAGAACACTGCCTTAAGCGGGGAGGCATTTCTGACCAATTGGTCTTCTGTGGTCACAAACTGGGGACCGAACACTGGCCAGTTGGGCTACCCATGGGGTAATGGGGAAGAGATTGTGGATCTACCTGGTTCCAATTCTCCATGGGGTAGACAGTGCAAGAGTGTGTTCTACCGATGAAGGGGTCCTTTGTGAGGCCACACTACTTGCTAGGTGTACTTTCACTGGCTAAAGCAGCAACCAAATGTGGCAGGGTGAGATTTCGAAATAATGCTGTATTTTCCCAGCCACATGTCTTTTCGCTCTAGCCCTACCCTTACACAATCAGTGAACCATTTTGCAGTTATTACCTCAAGGAAATTTCTGGCACAAAGCCGGGGGAAAAGAAGAAGACAATGTGAGTTTTGAGTTTCAAAAGATTTAGCGAACTCAAGGCCATGGAAAACACTGAGGCACAGACACTATGCTTGGGAGAATATCTGTTGAAATAAGTAAAGCTACCCAGACCCCAAAACAAAAAGATTGTCCTGCTTGATAGGGGTTGGGCTTACCGTAGTGAGAGAGGAAGTATGTACAAGAGCTTAGATGTGGTGAGCACTTGAGAAAGGGGCCCCGCATCCTGATTGCTGTACTCTCTTCCAAGCAAGTCCTGAGGTAGTGGTGGCTGACAAATACCCTAGAGGAGGTGTGTGCTCCTCCTAGGGGAGGAGAATGAACCTGTGCCTCATTTTCAAAAAGAGACGCAGGAGTATATACCCGAGAGGGCTGAGACAGCCTCACTATTGTAGTTGGTGTATGGTTTGTTTGTGTTCACAAAGCTGGTGTTGAAATTTGATTCCCAGTGTGGCAGTAGTGGGAAGTGGGGCCTAGTGGGAGATGTTTGGGCAATAGGGGTGGATCCTTCCTTAATGATTTGGTGCGCTCTGAGGTAGTGAGTTCTCTCTCTAGATTAGTTCTCCCAGGAATGGATTAGATCTAGAGAGCGTGGGCTGCTTGTTATAAGAGCCTGGATACCTCGCTGGTTTCCCCCTCTTTGCATGTGTCCACTTCCCTTTGGACTTTCTCTGCCATGCTGTGGTGCAGCATGAAAGCTTTTGCCAGAAGCCAGGGCCACACCCTTGAATTTCTTGGCCTACAGAATCATGAGCTAAACAAACCTCTTTTCTTTATAAATTATCCAGTCTCAGGTATTCTTTTACAGCAATACAAAATGAACTAAGACGCTCATCAAGTCCCTCTGTGCCCATATAGCACAGGTGGAGTAGAATGATTTCTGGACACCATGAGGGGCACAAAGAAATGATGGGAAGCTTCAGCCCAACTCACAGCACTTTCAGTGGCCCAGTGCAGCACTTTGTCATCACTGATAAGGAACAACTCAGGTTAATACTACATGGGCTAATTACCAAAGACCAGAAGGGAAAGAGGGTGTCTCAGGAGATGCCAGCACTGATACAGAGCAGTTCTGAGAACCAAGGGTCAAGCTACCCTCCAGCTCTGGCAACATGAAAAGTCCCTGAATCTGAGATGGTGTTATGACCTGAATTGTGTCCTTCCCCAAAATTCATATGCTGAGGTTCCAATCCCCAATACCTAAGAATGTGGCTGCATTTGGATATAGGGCCTTTACAGAGGCAATTAAATTAAAATAAAGCTGCAAGGAAAGGCCCTAATCCATTCTGACTGGTGTCCTTATAGGAAGAGGAAATTTGGTAGCCTAGAAGAAATGGAGAAGTTCCTAGACACATACAAATTGCCAAGACTGAAACATTAAACCGCCCCCCACTCCCCCCCACACAGAAAATCTGAAGAGACCAATAACAGGTAAGGAAATGTTATCAGTAATAAAAAGTCTACTACCAAAGAAAAGCCCAGGACCTAAAGTCTTCACCGCTGAATTCTACCATATATTTAAAGGTCATACCAATTCTTCTCAAACTCTTCCAAAAAATTTGGAAAAGTGGGAATACTTCCCAATTTATTTTATGATGCCAGCATTACCTGGATACTAAAACCAGAAAGAACGCTACAAAACAAAAAATTACACACAAATGTCCTGATGAATATAAGATACAAAAATCCTCAACAAAATACTAGCAAACTGAATTCAACAACACATAAACAGGATCTTTCACCATACATCACTTTAACAGAATGAAGGACGAAAGCCATTTGATATCTCAACAGATGCATAAAAAGCATTTGACAAAACTAAACATCCTTTTATAATAACTCTTAATAAATTAGTGTAGAAGGAATGTACCTTAACATAATAAAGGCCATATATAACAAACCCACAGCTCACATCATACTAAATAGTGAAAGTTAAAAGCTTTCCCTCTAAGATCAGAAACTGGGTAGAATGCTTACTCTTGCCATTTTTATTTAATATAGTACTGGAAGTCCTAGCTAGAGCAATTAGGTAAGAGAAAGAAATAAAAGATACCCTAATTAAAAAGGAAGAACAGAAAATGCAACCCTAAAATTTATATGGAATAAAAAATAACTCCGAATTGCCAAAGCAATGTTGGGCAAAAAGAACAAAGCTAGGGGCATCATACGACTTGACTCCAAAATCTACTACAATGTTACGGTAATCAAAACAGTATGGTGCTGGCATAAGAAGAGAAACAGATTGATAGAGCAGAATAAAAAGCTCAGAAATAAATACACACATTTGCAGTTAATTGATTTTTGAAAAAGGTACCAAAAATACATGGGGAAAGGAAGTCTCTTCCATAAACGGTGTTGGGACAACAAGATATTCACATGCAGGGGAATAAAATTAAACCTTTATCTTACCCATATGCAAACATTAACTCAAAATGGGTTAAGACTTAAATGTAAGACCTGAAACTGTAAAACTGGTAGAAGAAAACTCCAAGACATTGGTCTAGGCAATGATATGACCCCCAAAACACAGGCAACGACAGTAAAAATAGACAAATGGAATTACATTAAACTAAAAAGCTTCTGCATATCCAAAGAAACAGTCAACAAAATGAAGAGACAACCTACACAATGAGAGAAAATATTTGCAAGCCACACATCTCAGGGGTTAATATCTAAAATAAATAAGGAACTCAATTCAATAACAAGAAAATAAATAACCTCATTAAAAATGGGCAAAGGATCTGAATAGACATTTCTCGAAAGAATACGTACAAAAGGACAACAGGTATATTAAAAAATGCTCAAAATTACTAATCACAAGGGAAACACAAATTGAAAATATAATGAGATATCACTTCACACTTGTTGGAATGGCTATGATCAAAAAGAGGAAAGAAAATGTTGTCAAGGATGTAGAGAAAAGGAACCCATGCACACTGTTGGTGAGAATGTGACTAGCCACTATGGAAAACTGGCAGTTCCTAAAAAAATTAAAAATAAAACTACCATATGATTCAGCAATCTCACTACTGGATATATTTCTATTAGAGAGAATTGTAATAGATGTTTCAAAAATATTTCGAGTGGTGAGAACCTCTTGTACTGTCATTTTCTTCATGCCTGGTACCTGAGGCTAGGTAGACTCTAAAATTCTTTTCCTGGCAGGAGTGCAATCAAGTGGGTAATTACAATCCAAGGAAGAGCAGAAATATCACAGGTAAAGCATAGGAGGACAGTACAATTTCCTGGAATTTCTTTATTTGAGCAAATCTGTGCTGTAACAATTACCAGCCAAGGACTACAGGTGGTGAAGGCAGTTTTTACAGTGGAGAAATGCACATATGGAGGCTGATAATTCTTTGCAATTATCACATCAGCCTTGGATTATAACCTGGTGTATCCTTCAGGGTTCCTTGCTGCAGGTAACAGAAATCATCTGTGGCTAACCTGAACAGAAAATGAATGACTTAGAAAGAAATCAGGATATGGAATGAATTGATGCAGAATAGGCTAGAGTCAAAGGACAAAAAGCCAGGTCACTCTCTCTGAGCATTCAGGTGAGAATGGCATTGCTTGACCCCACTGCTTTAGGCACCTGAGGCCACCTCTGATGGAGCCTCTATGCAGTTGCCTCCTCTGGACTCTGACATGGCTTTTGTGAAATTTCTCAACTGTGCGTACATCTAGTTACTCTTCCAAGGTCAAATCTGCAGATTCAAGGAACTGAATGAGAAAGCGTGGTCATTGTCAGGGCGTGTACTACATTAAGAGGGAGGATCTGGTTCCTTTAATTCTGAAGGAGGCAGAATTCTGCTTCACACCAAGACTCTCAGTGTGAGGAATTAGCCACACTGGACATGGATTTACATGACGGTAGACAACAACCCAGCAAAAAGAAAAATTGAGGCCAATACAAAGGTAGGAATAATCTGTTTTTGCAAAATTAATTGTGGAGAAAGCAGTAAACTCACAAGTTATATGATAGTTACATAGGTATGTCATTTATGTTACT